AAACACACATATTAACTGGAAAAAAGATAACGTTGCGCTACCTGTTTTATAGCACATTCTTAATTGCTGTAATCAAAGAGTCTATCAGGATAAGCCTGCGGGTACAGCAGGACCACTATTTATTTATGAGCCAAAGTTTCCTCCCATGTTCTTTCTTTGCATATGGATGGAATATCTGTCTACTCTAGGCTTATTTTTTTATTATGGTTCTACAGACTGGAGCACAATGAGCCCCGTATCTGGAGTCTCCAGGTGCTGTTCTAATACAGATAAACATGTGACTGACAGCAATACAGCCAGATACATAAAATACACCAGAGTGGTATGAATTATTGCATTATTTAACCAATTTCCATCCAGCGGCAATTTCCCACTCAGGGTACTAAGCCGCCAAAACAAAGCAAGAGGTTTTTTTTAACTTTGATTACTGTGTGTCTTGAATTGCTCTTTAACAGAAGTCATCAATAAATGTTAAAACTGAACAGCCAAATCTGACATAGTTTCAAATTGTGATGTGATAATCCAGAATTTGTGAATTATTGACTGGAAGCCAGACTGATTTATAATCCTGGGGCTCTTCAGAAGTATCCCAGGCTCATAAGCTGTGCCCAAGTGATAGATTTTCACACTTAGTTTTCTAACTTCACTGAAATCCCTACAGAAACTCTTTTTTTCTTCAGTCAGAATCCACTTACTAGGTTCGCACACAAGACGTAGCAGTATTTGTGTAGCTGCCACATCTTTAGCTTTCTTTTGAGATCCATCTGGTTTAGATGGCAGCATGGGGATTGATATAAACCACCTGTTTTTTGCCAGATCATATCAGCTTTAAGGGCTATACTTTCACATCCATGAAAGCTGTTCCTCAGAGCCATGTATCTGCAAACAGGGTCAGTCCCAGGAGAAGCTTTACCTTTTCTTATTCGTAGACATACATTGTGCAGATCTCAAGGCAGATTTGGACTCTTTGACACACAAACAGGAAAAAAGTAACTATAAAATTAGTTTTGAAATTAATTTTAGAAAATATTCACTTAAATATGCACTATGCTGAATATCGCTAGAATACTACCAACATCCAGTAACAGTTTGGGAAGGTAGTGAAACAGCTGAGTCGTGCAGAGTGGGCAGAAAGAGGATGGCATGTTTTCCTTTCAGTTACCATTTAGAGAAGAAGAAACCTGTAATGCTTTTTATTTCATGAGAAAATGAAAATTAATGAAAGAAAATATGTTCTAGGAGGAATTTCCTAATAAGATTTTTCCTAACACTTGAAAACCAAAAGTCTTTCTAAAAGGAATTTATTCTTCCTAGGTTTATGATTGTGATTTCTTAGCCCGGAGGGTTTTTTTGTGAAAAAAAGAAGGGGTTTCTATAAAACATCTGTACAAAGGGAAGTGAAGAGCACCCACATCTTATAATAGCTCAGTTTGGAAATCTAAAGGAGGCATAATCTCTCAGCTTTTGCATTACAAAGCCACGGCTGCTCATTCCTGGTATTCTGCTGTTTCTCATCGTCTGACCTCAGCTGTTCCCAGGAAAATTTCACAAGAGAAATAGAGACCCTGTCAGAACGAATTCTGGCCTATCTTCTGCATTTTCTTTCAAAATATTTGTTGAATTTCAGTGGCTATAGTCAGTTCAGCCTAAAAATCCCCCTCCCACTTGTGCTGAATGCTGCTGGGCACCTCACACTAAGCACCAGGGTGAGAGGCCAGCACAGCGTGGGAAGGCGGCGCAAACCACTGTGGAAAACATTTGAAATTTGGCATTTATTTTCCACTTACCAGATGAATTCCACCTCACTCTAACACTGTGCAATAGCTTTTGGCATCACTGCCCATCCTGGGGCACCATGAGGGAGCACTGGGGCTCTGCAGTGGGTCCTCTGCCACCTTCCTCATCTTCATGCTCAAAAGTAGCTGCTTGACTGCAGCAACCAGTGCTGCTATCTCCGCAGTCTGGTTTGGGGCCAAAACATCTATCAAGATCACTCCTACCTTGGGTGCCACCATAACATCACCGGCACAGCCACTCACGCCCAAATCCACTGCACCCATGTCCTCTCCAGCTCTATGCCACCCTCTTTCCTCACATCTTCTGGCAGGTGACGGTGCAGGCTGCAGTGGAGATGTCTTCACCTCCCTGATCAGTCATGATCTCCTGTGTTCAGGATGGTCTGGCAGAGGAAAGCTGCCCTGCCTGCAGAAGGCTTTCCATGCCCTCTTAATGCCATCAGAGCAGGCCTCTTGGATGACAAGTGAGGAAAATTCAGCCTGACAGGGGGCTCCTTCTCCTTCACTAGGGAAGGGGGACAGCATCTGGCCAGTGGGAGGGCAGGGGGCACCTATACAATCCCATTTTGGTCCAGCATCAGTCACAGGGACACCATCTCACTGCACAGCTAGACAGAAGGGAAATACCCCTCAGAGAAGGACTGGGGAATTTGTGTCTTTTGGCACAGAACACGTTCAGAGTGGAAAGCATTGCGATGGGCTGGAGGTCTAGAGCTGGAGAGAGAAAAGGATAGAGAGAATTTCCTCTCCTAGAAGAAAAGATACATGGGATCATCTAGATCCCCTTTGATTAAATCACAGCTGGCATAACTGAGACATATATTACAGAAATTGCCAAAGGAAAAGATGTCTAAACTGCTTTTTAAACATTTTATACCTACCTATTTACATTCCTCATGATTTCAAACCCACAATAAATAAAGGAGAAAATACTACTGCCTACTTTTATGGTTCTCACTTTTTGCTTTTCCTGGCACTTCTTCATATTATGACATAAATTTCAGCCTCTGTTTCAGAAACAAGGATCCGTTTCTCGTGCTTAGAGAGATAGACACGGAAAGGTTAACCCTCAGTCAAGATGCAGAAGCCATGCCAAACAAATTCAGCTTTTATCTTCATTTCACATCTCATTTTTTAAGTCTATCCTGTCATTTGGAGAGCTGATCCAATATTTTCCAAGTCCTGGCCTGTCACAAGTAGAGTATGAAGTACACAAGGAAGGTAAGAACCAAGCACACTGGAATTTTATGGCAATATTGTGCATGCCACAGAGACTACAGGAAGACTTTAGAAAGAAAATCACAGCACAGTGCGGATAGATAAATATTGTGTGTTTTGCCTTGCTTCCATAAGGTAATAAACGTGGAATTTTTTTTTATTTTTCTAGCTTTCATATACAAATGGGTGTTCCTGAAGTTGGAGAAAACTCAGGTAATTGAGTGGAACAGCTCAGCATGAGCAATTAGCATGCCATGATCCTCCTTTAACTCTTTCTTTCTCCACTAAGGCACATTTGTAATGGTAGTGCTAAACAACATGAGTTTCCTTTATCATCTACTGATTTTATCATTTGTATGTTCATTAACATATAGAGAAACACTAGGAATTACTAGAAATTAGAGATATTATTCACTAATTTCCAGTTTTCATTTCAGTAATTATTCAAAGCAGAACTTTATGTAGACTCAAACTCAGCAGGTCTTGGCCTGCGGTTTGTGGACTCCTGCTAGCCCCAGCAAGCTATGGCCACCCTTGAGTCCATCTGAACACTGTCACTTACTGCCTCGGGTGGCAATGGTTTACACTGGTGGCCCCAAACACAATTTCATAAGACTAGACTGCTGTTATTCCTCTCAATTTCATGTGCAGCACTGTGGAACCCACCACCAAGCCTGTAAGGGAAAGCACCGCTGCTGAAAGCAAGATTTGCCCAATCCCAGGACACTCAATTGTTTTATGAAGAGGAAGAACATGTTATGCTCTACTGAACGTGTGACCACAAAAGCTAGCACATCCTGGGAAACTGGTAGCATTTGCTGAACGCATTCAGCCTGCATTTATAGAAATCTGGAATTTACTTGCACTGACGGGAGCAATAGCCACAGGGAAACATGTAAAAAGTGGGAATGAGATGTAAATACATTAAACCTGGATGCATTCCTGTGTGACCTGCTCTAGGTGATCCTGCTTTGGCAGAGGGGCTGGACTAGATGATCTTTTGAGGTCCCTTCCAACCCCTGACATTCTGTGATTCTGCAAAACCTTCACACTGATTCTTTTCCTATCGGGAACTTTTCATGTTCTTTATTACCCAGTGTTTAGTCACAGTGTCTAAATAAAAGTTGTGCCTAAATATGAGGAACCAAGCAACAGCATTTGTATCATGCCCAGTGTGGGTGTCAGCCACACTACAAGAAGACAAATACCTGTGAACAAAACCACTTAAGAGCAAAGGTAATGTGCTGCAATTATATTATGTTACTTTTTAAATAAAACCTTAAGGGTTTTGTCAGAGGTCTTGGTGTCTAACTCCCTCATTAGGCTAGTGATGAAATTCATACAAATAAAATAAAAAATTTAGAAAACCTGAATACAGTTCCCCTTGTCCATGTTCCAGGTACGTTCTCATCATGGAAACAGAAACCAGGAATGACTCCACATGAGAGAGGCTCAGAGCGCAGGTACCCACAGGGTTGCGATTTACTAGTGTGCTCCCTTACAAGCCCTTAGGCAATGTCAAACACCTCTTTTCTGGCACAAACACCTGTAGATTTACCCTGGTCTAAGACTTACTTTAGATAGTCTTTTCTGCTGCTTTGCCTATTGCCAAAACAAAGGTGTTACATCAGTTTCATTTAAAATTCCTAATCCACACTTACAGCCAAGCTTCAAACCGGTTCTGAGGAGTTACCAGAATTAAGTAGTCACTTATTCCTTTGTATTTTGAAAATGCAATTCATTTTTATATGTAAGTACTAAGTAAGTTTTTAGTATGGTGATTCTGAAAAAATCACCTCCCATAATACTATTTTCCCCAATTATGTAGTCTGTGATAAATTATTTTAAACAGTTTTGTGTAAATCAACCACCTGAACTGAGTTTGAGGCTACAATAATTTATGTCTTTATCTTACTCTGCATGCTAATTACTCTAACAACTGTGACACTATTGTTGTCCATAGTACTTTAGACTGCAGGAAGACTGTAGTTCAGTTTTAATAGTTTAAGCCAACTCTTTGGTATACCAACGACAAGGTTGCTTGTTTTCATTTAGTATGTTATATTTTGGAATGCACAAATAATTTATTTAAATAAAGGTATATACAAACATGATGAAGGAAAAACTCTACAGAATTCAGTACAATGGCTGCATGCACTGGGAATGACGGTATGATTTGCTTCAGAGGCATGGAGTATGATCTGAGATCTAGGAAAATTGTTGACAGTGTGCTGAAAATCCCATCACCACATCGAAGGCTCTTCAAACCTGAAACACATATCACAAATTAAGAAAAAATAATAATTAAACACATTTTAAAGCCCCTTCTGAAAAATCCAAAGTTAGAACTACCTAAATTTTTCATTTAATAGTAGCAGCAATAAGGAATACACATGCATATTTGCAGTTGAAGATTGTAGATGCAACTCCCATCAAAGCAGAGGGGTCCTGGTTGGCCAAGTGTCTCTCCTTCGGTACCAGAACTTACTCTTCCATACTGCTGCCCAGCTGGCATGTCTTCCCACCACTGAGACTCACCGCAAAGCTGCTTTATGCCGTTAAGAAGCACTTAATGAAATTCAGCTAGAAAACCATGATATGTTGAAAGAGAGGTAATTTTCATTCTTACTCAGGAGCAAAGAGATACCGCTAAGCCAAAAACAAACCAAAAAATAACATGTCATGCTGTTAGCAGCTTCATACAAATCTGAAGTCCAAAGCCATCATCCTAAAACATTAATGTGAAATGTGTATTGAAAGGGACGTTGAGGGTAGGGCTTGATCCAGGTGTCCTCTGCTTGCAAATAGCTGTTCTGTCTACACAGCAAGTCAACAAGTGGAGAACATGGAGACAGACTATAGGAAATGCATTTGCCATAATTTTTTGTCATCTAAAAGTTGGGTATCTAGTCTTCCTTCACAGTCACTGGGGAGACACTGGCCCTTTGAGAGGGCAATTGGTCTGCCCATTTTCAGAGAGAACGCTGACTTTGGAGATAACCATCCCTTGCACTGACTGCAAAGGCAGCCTAGACAATTACTTTATGCTGGATACCTAACTTTTATGGAGGAAGTAGGGTAGACACAGCCTGTTATTGAGTTTCAAAGGTTTTTTCATGACTCCACAAGCTTGACAAGCTCAGAAACATGCCATGTCACAGATTTTGTCATAAGAACTTACTTGTACTGAGGTCAAGGTGCCTCCTTTTTTTTTTATTCCTTTACTTTCTATACTTCCTATATTCTGTAAGACTCCCTCTAAACTTTCTTTATATGGTCAGACATACACCTATGCTGCAAAATATTTTGGGGCATGTATTACTTAGCAAAAGTGAAATGTCAAACCAGGCTGGCCAAGCCGAATACAGTGAAGTTGTTCATTTACATCTCAATGTTTAGTCACAAAGTTTGGTCCTGAGAACTCATCAAGTTTTTCTCTCTCACTGATTCACTAAGTGCAAATTACACCTGCTCCAAAACTGGTTGTGTGTATAACTATTTTTAAGACTTATACCTCATTAATTTAAGTTCAGAATAATACCAGCCTGCCTTTCATTCATTCAGCCTGGCTTGCTCCAGGAGGAAGGCTCAGGCAGTCGTGCTGTACCTGGGCATACTTTCTGTGTGCCCACCTGTCCACCTCTCCGTGACGCCCCTGAATTCCCTACCAGCTTTCAAACCCTCTGGACAATGTCAACCAAGTCAGAGGCACAGATATTTCAGAGATATTAAGTTCCTGATGTGCCATGAAACACAGGACTGGGCACAAAGAAGACTTAATTAAGTCCTCACATGGAGTAGAAAGCTGGAGTGGGATTCAGAAGCCATACAGGGTTTCATCCTAGAAAACATATCCATAGGAAACTAGACATCATTGTTCCCAGTACTCCCATAATTGCCATCAATGAATGACAAATGCCATACTCAGTTTAAAGTGCTGTTACAGGGGGTATGAAATAAAAATCTGTTTCTCATCAATTCTTGATCTTAAATGCAGACTAGTTTGTTATTTTGCTCATAAGTTTTTGCTCCCTAGTGTGTTGTAAATAGCATTATTGAAACAATAATAATAATAACCATAAAGTTTTGTTATGAAGGGGTGAAAATTACAGAGTATTAGACTTTGTACTACCCTGTGTGTTGCCTCAAATTCATGGCAGCGGAAATTTCCCATTATGTGAGGGCTCTGCCTTGTCGCTACCAAATACGAAAGAGTCTAATACATTTCACTGCACTCCATGCAGTTTTTTACATAAGCATCTGCAGAGAAAAGTGCATCCCCATAGCTGCACTTAGTCATCAAACCATAAGTTAATGGTCTCCCTCCACACAGAATTGCAAGTCTCACGGACGACCTCCCTTGATGGCAGTAGACATTTTGGTCACCTTCCAGTGACAAGATCACGCCCTAAGTTCAGTGCTACAGAATATTATGCTTAAGTGCTTAACTAGTCTAACTGAGCCTTTGCACAGCTGATGAAAGTACAGAGCGATTGCTTGCAGACTCCTGAGGCGACGACTGCATAAAACACTTATTTCTGCTGCAGAATTATTATCAGCAAACTTCAGCCTAGCAGTAAAGGCTTAAACTGAGCTCACTTATGCTTGATTCTAAGCAAAACTAAATCCAGTATTTTCCTTCATGAAACAAGTCCTCCCCATATGTTGTTTTTTCAACATATTTACTTTTAGCTGTATAAACTGGAGTCACCACTGCAGCGTGGTATTACAGCTAGAGTGTCATTACCTAACTAGATAACACAGTACGTACATTTGAAACTCCAATGTTGCTTTAAACTCCACTGTTATTTTAAACTAAGTGCAAATGGAAATACAAGGGCCTTTTTCTTCCCCTCTGTAAAATATTAGGTACAAAACCAATGTGAAATATTATATTTTAAAGACCAGTCATAGCCATGCACTTGCATATAAGTTACATGTATATAACTTATGCAAGAACTTAACTATAAGAATATAAATATATGTGCACATTTACTACTCATACATCTTTAGAGGAAAAAATTAAACCTGTTTGAGTAGCAAATGAGTAGAAAAATGTCATTTTGGGGGCTATAACCCAGCATCAGGCATCAGCATACAATTACTGTTGCCCAGTAAGGGGGAAGCATTGTGGGAATGCTTCCTTTTCTCCACACAGCAGGTATGGCCTGCTCCCAAAATCAGGAAATGAGGAATTTGGACTATATCATATCTGGTAAGGCATTTCTTGTATTCAGAGATGGTGCTAGCTGTTTAAATAAAAAAGGAATTTAATTTTTTTTTGAGACATATTTATTCAGCTATTGGTGGCATATGTTTTCTCTCTGTGAAACATTTTACTGATAACAAATAAAACTGTTACAGCCAAATGAGAAGAGAAAACCATCACAAAACTGCTTCATACATACCTGGATCTAGGAATATTTTCTGTGCTTTCCCTCAACAAGAGGTCTGAGATCAGTGTCTCTGGGCTTGATCTCTTTCCATATCTAAGGAAAGACCAAAAAAGGTGTATTTTCATATATGTCAGTTTTTTAAAAATTAAGATTAAGCATGGAACCATTAAACAAATCTTTTCAGAAAAAAAACAAATAGGGCAGACATAAAGACAATTCTCCAGCAAGTATTTTAACTTAACTTGATTTAGTCATGTGAAAAAATGTTCACTCTTCAGTATTTATTTGAATATACTTTTTCTATAATCATGTTACATGATAGCATTGAGAAACTTGGAGTATTTCTCAGTCTGATGGCTGTTCCTGGGTGCTCTAAGGCCTTGCACCTTACTGATTTGTACCTGGAGAAAGAGGGAGGAAGCTGTGCATGACATGACCACCAAGCATGTCATTCCTGCCTACAAACCCAGTTCCATTACCTCATCAACTTTCTCACTGTTTTAGATGCTACCATACTGTAAACGAGGAGTCGATTTTACCTATTACATGAATAGAAAATTTACTGAGATATGCCGTAGTAGCCAAGGAATTAGGATTATCCAAAGATTTTTTAAGATAGCTAGTACAGCTGCAGCTGTCCAACACACAGAACATCAGGCTGTAAAAAACGAGCTACCCCAGGCAATCACCATTTTCAAACAAAGGGAGAGAAACCTTCCTGAATCAAGAGTTCTTCTCTGATAGCTAACAGGATATCACCAACTACCTTCGATCCATATTTACACAGCAGCTTCTTCTATTGCTTTTTTTAAAAAAAATCCTAGATACTATAAAATGCTCAACAGGTAAAAGTACTGCAATTCCTCGTTCTTGGAAGGAATTTTTTCTGTTTTCCTAAGAAAACAGAAGCGATAATGAGCAGACACTTCTTCTGTACAAGGATTCATTAGCCTAAGAGCTATAAGTATAAGCAAACGCTTCCTTGGCTGGAAAGAATTAAAATCATGGTCTGTAACTTGTGTAAGTCATCAGTCTGAATTACAAAGTACATTAACAGATAACAGCATTGTGTCTCTCACTTAAGTGAAATTCTGATTCCAGAGAAATCAAAGGTGTAATTAAGGACTTAGATTTTTATCCACTGCTATCAAGATGTTTCTTGACATGATCTAAATTTTGAGGGGAAAGAACACCAACAAACTATATTTCAAAAGGTAACAGTTTTACCTACTGATGGTCTGACTTACTGAAAAGTGAAAACATATTTCACTTTTCTATCATTTTATTCAACTTTTTGTATTTTTACATCACCTTAATTATTTTACTACATCACCTATGCCACATAAAGACAAAGCATTGGTTTCAGAATTTTAAAGTAAATTTCTTAATCTAAACTGATTGAAAGCAGGTATCTAAATAGAATCAGCCAGACACAGTAAAATGCTATTACAATAACGCAATCAAGCATGATGCTGAGTCAAATACCTTGTACTCCATCACCACAAAGGGATTTCTTTCTTTCCATTTCCCTACTCCAATTAATATGTATGTGACCCGGACTTCAACTGAGGGGGAATCTAATTTACTGTTGCTTAAAGAAATCGATTTAACAAATCAACAACTTGCTCCAACATCTTACACTTGAGTAAAACTCCCACTAACATCATGGAAAGTTTTGTCTGAGCAAAAAATGGGTAGCAAGTCTCTGGAGTGCAGAGATTCAGACAAATCATGAAGATGACTGTGTTGGGGAGACACCTTTTATATGAATCCCTTCAGTGTCTGGGCTAGGCCAGTGGTGATACCTGTGCTGGATGGACTCACCATCTCCTCATAGAGCAAAGCTGTGACCGGTCAAGGATGTCAGATGCCTGAGCCTCCTGTTTGCCCCAGATTTTTGCCACTGCGAATCAACCTTGCTACAGACATAATAAAAAGAGGCCATGGACAAAGTCATCTCTTCTTACTGAAGCAAAGACCTTGAGAGATCTTTGCTTCAGCTGCTTCGGGCTTTGCTCCTTGTCTACCCTGCCCAGCTTTGAGAAACCATGAACACAGAAAGCCAGGCCTTTACTTGCTGCTTGGGAAAGAACTTTATCACACGTCATAGCTGTTTTAAAAGAAAAAGGCTCCAAGTTCTATGAAAATACCTAGTCAGGTTCTATGCTCAGCTTGAGATATCAAGGCCTTTTTTAGGCATGCTGATAACCCACAAGTCCATCTGAAGTCAAAGGGGTCAAGAGTAAACATACTTATTCTGATTAGGGACATAGCATTTCACACCCAGTGAAGTCTCAAAGCTTCCTATGAAAACTTGGGTCTTGGGAGTCAAATCTGATCAATGTCCAAGGCTGGCAACAGGAGCTGAGGGATCACAGAAGCATCTTGTGGGTCTGATTCAGAAAAACTGCCAAAAATAAACAGGCTCTCAAGATCTGCTCCCTTCCCCATGAAAGGGTGTTGACATGAAGCGTGAGCATCAATGCTGCCTGAGTCAGACACACTTCCAGATACTACCTGTCCTTCCACTTCAAGACATTTCCAGCCTTACTGTTTTGCTACGGAACTGGAGAGCCACAGATTCATGAACAAGCTACAGGGAACAAGATAGGAAGAGGCCCTGTTGGCAAGAAGGAGTACAGGTAGTAGCAAGTAGCAGAAGGAGAAGTGATTAAAGTAAAGACAGGCTCTGAAGAAAGCTCCCAGAACAGCACAGTAGAGGGGTATGAGGCAAGGACCACAGGATGGTCTTGAGGACAGAGGTGGGACTAACCCATAGACCCACAGACATCTTCAGGGTAGGAGCCTACATCTGAGCTGGTCACCTTAGGCTTTCTTTACAGTCATAAAGACCTGGCACCTGAGAAACAAGGGATCTCATCCAAAAAGAGGAGTGTGAAACAGGCCTGGTGACTTGTCACCCTACAAATACCTGTTTACCTCAGCTAACGCCAAAGAAGTGTGAAACAGGCCTGGTGACTTGTCACCCTCCAAATACCTGTTTCCCTCAGCTAACGCCAAAGGGGCATAAAGATGTCTAAAACTGAGATGTCTGAAGCTAAGTGAGATAGACCTGAAGGAGAGGATCTCAGGCAAAGGAGGAGCAAAGCAACCACACAGACAAGGGCTAAAGAAAAGAGAGGTCGAGCATAGCTTGCTCACCCACTCTCAGGAGGTGCAGGGTGAGCCCCTGGACCACCTGTTTTCCCCCTGTGACAGGGCTCCTAAGCAGCACCATGCACAAAAGGCAGAGGTAAAAAGCTGTAAGGAGAGAGAGAGCTTCGCGCACATCTGCCGAAACAGACCAAACGATCCTCTTTTGACCAGTCCAAAATGCTTCAGATGTCATTGATCCATTTTGCAAGTGACTGTGCCACTGCCAAAACAGGGAATTAGTTAAGCTTTACAAATGGAGGTGGCAATTATTTTATTTCTGCACTGTTAATCCACTATACAGTGGAAACAGCATGATCCTGCTTCTTTTTTTTTTTTTTTAGTGAACCTATGCAGTCAACTTTAAAACGTGCACCATGAAGTTGCCACCATGGTGGTTTTTTTTCTTTTTTTTCTGCCAGCTTTCTTGTACTTCCAAGTCAGTTCAGTCTCCTTTAAATATGAGAGGATGGGTAAGAAATCTAGATAAAATCTGAAGAAACAAATTTAAATTCTACATTGTTTTATCTACCAGCAACAATAACTATTTCAGTTCATTTCAGAAACCAGACGCACACCACAGAGTGAAAGCAGTCTCAGTCTTTGAGTTCGTATACTCATACCCCAGAAATTAGGGGAAAAAAGCACTACACAGCCAATGTTAAAGCAAGCATATAGGGTGCACACCAAAAGGGGAGGCTGAATACAGAAAGGAGGGTTTATTTGGTTGGATTTGGTGGGTGGGGTTTTTTTTGTTTTTAAATATGACCTCGTTTTGAACAGGAACCACCACCTTTGAAATCAGAGGTGAAAGAAACAAGAGGCAAGAGAGCAGCCTGGAGATCTCACTGTGTACAAGGGAAAAGGGCAGCAGAGGCAGAACTCAAGGATCTGATTATTATAGCAGTAATTTAGACAAAAAGTTATCTGAGCACAGACTGTCACACAGAAGCATGCCATAATAATGAACAGGTTGTAAATACTGCTTTAAAAGTTCAGGACTGAAGAACTGGTTTTCTATCTGCGTTATGCTATCAGTGCACTGGCAGACAACATTATGGGTTTGCTGGGAAAGCTCTCAGTTACACGATAGCCTCCCTTCTAATTCAATACTTCAGACTTCTAGAGGGACAAATGAAAGCCTAATTTTAGACCTCTTATCTGATTTTGATATTAAATAGATAAATATGTCAAAGCTCTTTTGGGTCACATACTGTTCAAGGACCTCAGGGGAAATTTCTATTAATTACATAGTCTAAACTGGACAGATGGCCTCAAAGAAAATGATTTTTTTTTTTTACAATTTCAGACTGAGATTTTACCCATATTTCACAAGTACAGTCATCCCCAGACAAACAGTTTAGAGCAGGGCAGGTTTGGATCACACTCTTTTCGAGCTTGAGCTTGGCTTCTTGTTTGTGGTCTTGAGAAAGTTTTAGTTAACTAGTGGGGTTTTTGGCACTCACAGCTGCCTGAAGTAGCTGGCAAACCACAAAAAAAAACTCAGCAAGGCTACAGGGGTACCTTTTCTCATCAAAATCTTCACTAGAGTCAGCGAACAGAAGTGTGAAACCGCTCCTACTGCCCCACGGCAGCTCCCAGGTTAATTATGTTTTCTCTCCCTTTTGGGGGGCTCTCCCTGTTCGTGCTGCCCTGCGGTTCACCCTCTGTCCTGCCAGCCCGTCCGTGCCAGGGCTAGAAAGGGCTGAGAGCAGAGGCAGCATCGCCACCCCTGCCCCTTCTGCCAACTTGGAGGGTGGAAATTCAGCTCCGGAGCCAGAGGCGCCCCGGGGATGCGCGGCTGCTGCTCCCTAAGGGGAGTGTGTGCCCCACCTCTTTCTCTGTGTCGGGAGGGACGCGTGGCGAGACAGACACCAGGTGCGAGGAGACACCCCACTTTCTTTTTGAGACACCCCCCTTCCCTCCCCTGACCCTCGCCGAGGAAGCCCGGGGAGCGGGAAAGGGGGATGCTGGCCAGGCCGCTCTGCCTACCTCTGCCTGGTGATGAGGTTGATGTAGTGCCTCAGCGCCGAGTAGTACCTGGCCATGTCCTCTGCGGGGGCGTCCTCGCCGGGGCTGTCCGGTTTGGAGGGGTACGCCTCTGCCAGCGGCCCCAGGCAGACCAGCAGCGACAGGGCGAAAGTCAGCACC